CCACTAATAGGAAGGCTTTCATCAACACTATAACGTAATTGTTTTGTTGAGATCTGTCCGTATTGACTGTAAATAATTTAATCGATCCATGATTTGTATCACAGTTTGATTATTCAATTTAAATAATATACTAAAAATATTAAAAAACAATTTAAGGAATGATTAAAACTAATCAAAAATAATAACAAATCAACTCATAAATAATTAAAAGCATTATCTAAATTCATTAAATTAATTGAGCTCTCAATTCACTAATTTTTTATAAATAATAGTTTTATGGCATCCAATGTAGTATCGAAAGAGCGCATTCCGTATCACCAGTTCCTCGACTAGCAATTACTGCCTTATATATTGTCCTAAAATATCAAATAAATAGACTGTTAATAGACTCAATGAAATGATGCTGTCATTCATCAATATATATACCGATTCTGTATTGTCGTACAAATGGACGGCCATAGACTGCTGGCGCACATCTTTATCCTTATCTGATTGCAAGTCTTCTAAAGTTTGTTGAACTTTGAAATGAGATCTAAATTGAGCTGAAATGGCAATACATGTACACAAAGAGTTAGTAATGCGTTTTGAGAGCAAAGTAAAGGTACTATAAAATGTTGACATATTTATAATGAGTACCGATTGGCCAGAAAGTGTTGGTTAGGATTCGCGCCAAAACTAATCTAATATTTGGTACGTTATCTGCAGACAAATTGAGCAAATGGTGGAGCATTTTGTCGACAAATAGGTCCCGCGGTATCGACTCGTTTTGGATGAGTTGTTCGCAAACCAATATATATGTCTGTCTTTGGATCCATCTGTTGGAGTCCGCCAATTGTCCATTTAGTTCCCATATTATGTCTAATCTGTTGTCCNAGGATGTGGAGAAAAACGCGATCACATAACCCATCATTTTGGGGGTAATATTGATAATTAAATAGTTTATGACCATGATTAGTTTTACTCATTCGTCCAGCAGTTTATTCTGTCGAGGAGTCGATCCCAACAGGTATTTGTCAATAATATTGAATATAATAAATCTTAAATATGATAATCAATTAAATATAGGAATTATGGATTCCATTGGGGAAGTGCTGGAAGCAGTTCTTATCCGTGTTCGGAGACATATCATGGAAAGGCACCCTTTTCTGAACCCGAAACCAAAGCCATATCTGACTATATTTTGACAAAGAAAGACAATATCAAAGTAAAGTCAAATGATTACATATAAAGTCCAGTTTGTGATTGCTTTAAATCTTAATCTCAATAATTATTTGATTAGATGTATATCGCAATGCATTCATATTCACAATTCATACTAACGCCCTGGTATGCGGAAAGCACTTGCATTTAATTTACTAAAATACTAGTTAGAAATTAGCCAAATATCTAAATAATTGTAAACTATGAACACTATGAAGGGGTTGGACACAAGATTTGCCCAAACAATATAACGACATGTTATCCATGGGTCAAAAGGGGGCTCAGGCTCTGCAGCAAAAGTTTGGCACTCATTATAAAGTGGGTTCGAGTACTCGCATCCTATACGCCGCCGCCGGTGGGGCTGACGGTACGTACCCTTCAATTGATGTTATAAACAATTAAAACACAATTTAATATTACGATTGCTATAAGTTATTGAATTGTTTTATTTTATCCAAAAGACTGGGCACATGGCGTTGCGGGCGTTAAGTACAGCTATACCTTTGAATTGAGAGATACAGGTGTCTATGGATTCGTACTTCCGGTCAGATTTATAGTGCCGACCGGTGAAGAGACATTTGATGGCATCATAACGATGTGCAATGAAATCAAAGATGAATACAAACTAAAAGCTGTCGACGTATAACACACTCAACAACAAAATGAATTGATTTTCAATTATATTTTTATTTACAAATATTATATATAATATTCATATATATATATGAAAACATATTAAAAAATCATTAATTCATTTATAAAAACAATAAATTTAGAAATTGTTTAAAACCTATTGTTTTGAGCACTTATTTGTTGTTCATTTGCACAAATAGCCATGTTCATATATGGAATATTGTGCATAGATAACTTAAAAACGACACTCCAAAATTAGAAAGACTTCTATTATAAAACATTTGTGGCAATCATATTATCAAACGCAAGAAATTAACAAATTATATAAAATTAAATCAATATTTAATAGTTTGTGCTCAATATCACAGACCATTTCCAATAAGTACACTATCAATACGACAATAATTCAACGAATAATCAATTATCTGACCTTAAAGTTATCAAAATTAGAAAATATTCCTAAATCCTTGTCCACTAATAGGAAGGCTTTCATCAACACTATAACGTAATTGTTTTGTTGAGATCTGTCCGTATTGACTGTAAATAATTTAATCGATCCATGATTTGTATCACAGTTTGATTATTCAATTTAAATAATTAACTAAAAATATTAAAAAACAATTTAAGGAATGATTAAAACTAATCAAAAATAATAATAACAAATCAACTCATAAATAATTAAAAGCATTATCTAAATTCATTAAATTAATTGAGCTCTCAATTCACTAATTTTCATAAATAATAGTTTTATGGCATCCAATGTAGTATCGAAAGAGCGCATTCCGTATCACCAGTTCCTCGACTAGCAATTACTGCCTTATAAATTGTCCTAAAATATCAAATAAATAGACTGTTAATAGACTCATTGAAATGATGCTGTCATTCATCAATATATATACCGATTCTGTATTGTCGTACAAATGGACGGCCATAGACTGCTGGCGCACATCTTTATCCTTATCTGATTGCAAGTCCTCTAAAGTTTGTTGAACTTTGAAATGAGATCTAAATTGAGCTGAAATGGCAATACATGTACACAAAGAGTTAGTAATGCGTTTTGAGAGCAAAGTAAAGGTACTATAAAAATGTTGACATATTTATAATGAGTACCGATTGGCCAGAAAGTGTTGGTTAGGATTCGCGCCAAAACTAATCTAATATTTGGTACGTTATCTGCAGACAAATTGAGCAAATGGTGGAGCATTTTGTCCACAAATAGGTCCCGCGGTATCGACTCGTTTTGGATGAGTTGTTCGCAAACCAATATATATGTCTGTCTTTGGATCCATCTGTTGGAGTCCGCCAATTGTCCATTTAGTTCCCATATTATGTCTAATCTGTTGTCCACACAAGAGGTCGTCGGCTCGTACACCAGAGTCTCGAAGATTTGTTTTATCAAAACAGATATTAACCGAATTGCCGCTAATCTCACTTCGGATACTATTATGCAATGAATAAATACAAACTTAATACACATATAATAGAGACAATTGCCAATTAGTTACCTTTATCATTGAGAAGCACTAAACCAATGGGTAATAAATATTCTTTAATCTCAGACGCGGTGTAAATGTGCGCCAATTCCACGATTTGTTGGGCTAACGTGTGTCGAAACCTCCAGTTCTTGTTATTATCCATTTTAAGGAACTCCGAAATTTTGGGCAGAATTCCCTGTTGTTGTGGTCGGAGTAGGAGTTTAAGGAAAGGCGCCAAATTCTGGAGTATTCCGAACCGCACTTCATCCAAATCCTTCATAAAACTCAAGAATATGGGCAACAGGTCTCTTGTGGTGAGTTCAGAGCCCAATATATTTGACATCTGGTGTAGACTTGAGGCCAAAGTCCAGCGCACTTTCCATTGCATCTCTGCGGCCAAGAGTTCATACGTTTCCCTCAGACACGACCAGTTCTTTCGGCCCAGAGTTAGAGCCACTGCCGGCAGACTATATGCACAGTGATGGCATAGATCGGGATCAACAGTTTGGTAGTGAATTGGATTAGTCATCGATAAGTAATGCTCTAAAAGATCGTTTGGTATAATATCCTGAGTGGGAGGGGGTCTTCTGTATGGAAACATATATCCCGATCCCATTGCCATCGACTCTCCGAACGCAAAGGACATGAGTTCGTCGGTCTCCGCTATATTCAGGTTAGAGTAAAGTCCTAACAGTGGCTCTCGAGCTCCCATTATGTCGGCCGATGGATAGGTGGGGTTATATGCCGTCCAGGCATTAGCCCTATCGTCCGAGTCATTGCAATACATGTATCGATTGCGAGCACTCATATTAAACCCGGGGTTCTGTTCCATAGCCAGAGGGACGCCCTTATACTTTGGAACGCTTTTCTGGTCATCACTTAAATTGGAACCAAAATCTTCAACCATTTCCTTGTCATTAATCTTAGCGTTTGGATCACATGTCTGTTGAACGCTGTCATCAGCATTGAATGTGTGGTGACTTTCGCATAACTGGAGTTCAAGTTGAGGAATGGAAGGAATGGGAATTCTCCAGAACTGGAATTCACTGAATTCGTTGCTTTCAATGGCTAATAGTTTCTCGTTGTCGGCCTTCGAAGACGTCGATAATTGACTGAACTCTTCGCAAAGAGTGTCTTCCACTTCATCCACATCTATATCTGTTGGCGAATTAGCGTTGGATTCACTGCTTCCTAATCCGCTATCATTACTGGTGTGGTCTTCGATGACAACAATTCCATTGTCTGAATAATAAAGACCTGTTTTGCTGGGATCAGCGAATGTTGATATAAAAGGACCCAATGATTGAAAGGCAGCCGATTTTACCTGTTTTGAGACATACATGTGTTTTGAGACATACATAGTTGATAAAAAGATAAATGAATCCGTGAATGATAGACATACCCAACGGGACTGATCGTTGAGTAGATTGACGAATAGCGGCGATAAGACATCTTTGCGTATTTGGTTCGACACAGTGATGGCCACGGGCACGAAGAAATCGGCGCAACTCTTCCTGACGCCCCAAATGCTGTCCTGACATAGACTTCGGAAACGCGACAACTGTTGACACAAACACAGCAAATATAATGAAGACATTGAATGACACGAAAGAGTGAGAAATAAATACCAAAACAGTTTCAGTTAAATACTGTCCGACAACTGTACAGAATTCGCCGAAATTCGAGGCACAGACACGACGGACATGAAAGCTCACGTCCAGACAGAGACGGGTGAATGTCTGCAGTAATATCTTTTCGGTCGACTCTTTACCCAAAAACCTAACCATTTTACTCATCATCTGTAACACAATTTGTAATTCTTTTTAATTATGATTATAACCACCAATAATGTATAATTTATTATTATAATAGTTGTAAGGGTTAATGCACTAAAATTTCAACACATTTTATATGAAATTTATAAACTTTTTAAATTTAAGAAATTCTTTAGTATGAAATAAGTGTTTGTTTTTAGTAAAGCTATATCATAGAAATGAATGTTAAATGTGTGGATAACTGGCATATCATCTATTGGTGGGCATTGTATCAAACATTCGCACACTTCCACTGATCAAAGCGGCTGTGATATGAAGACTATTTGGTGAAACAGATCACTGCCTCTTTGACGGGTGGATATGTTTGGCACTACATATACACATACATACAGTTTCTTATAATTAGTTCATAAGTGTATTGCGGTATATATGAAAATGACAATTAGTTATCAATCAAATAATTAGTAATTAAATAAAGGATTGACTAAACAAGTAATGAGTATAAAGCGCGTGACGAGTGTTTGGTGGACTGGTATGGCATAACTGAACTCATCAAAGCTGGCTGTGATACGACTTTTGATCAATGGTACGACACATCACAACCACTTCGAGAGGTGAGTTACCCAACAAACGGTCTTCCAAGTGGACAAATGTAGGCAACGGTGTGGCAGTAATGGTAATAATAGTAGTTTATGGCAGTGCCGTGAGTCGTGTCAAGTAGGCTGTGATATGATTCATAGCCAACAGATCACTGCCAACTCGCACGACACACGACAACCAGTAAAAGCCAATCTCATAATTGCATGAAACGTCTGATTGATGTCATGTGCATCTCGGAGATCATCAAAGGTGGCTGTGATATGGATGAGACACTGGCTGTACATTTCATCAGCCGCTTTGATGTCTACGCAAATGCACTCATTTCTCGTTTGCTTCAATCAAATCATACGAAGTGAACAAATCATTCATTTCTCACAATAAATGACTCAATCAATGAAAGCATGCAAACAGTTATGTAACACATATTTGGCGCCAAAAATTTCATTTTGAAACTGAAATATAAGAAAACGTTGTAAAACACGACAACAGTTTAAATGTGAATACTATTAAAAGCACTCAATATTAATGACAGGAAAAGAGCGTAAAACTAATTATAGAAAATCATGTGATAAGAGTAAATAAAGAGTAAAATAGCGGTTAGATATTAGATATGAAAGCAAAACAAACAATGCATTAATAATGAGGGAACGGGTGGTGAGAGGTGGACATGGCGTCAAAGACAAGGTAGTGAGATGGTGGTCAACTGTCACATCTCACTACCCATGTCTTTCACACCAGATCCACACAAACGCATTACATTAGAGACCACTTCACTAATTGGTATTCATTGAGTTAATGCAATCTCTTGGACTCTACTCTGCCATTGAAGGCATCCCTCTATTTGAGCGAAAAATAGACAACTTATCACTTGTTTAGATCACATCCAAAACAAACGTTTTTGTCATTTGCTTTTATATTAAACACAAAGTGTTTTGTAATTAAAATCAAAGCAAACTTCAATTTGGAAGTTTATATTTGATATAAATTTCATAATTAGGACACAAAAATCATTTGCAATAAATACTAATAAAACCATTAAATATAAGGGTCATTGAGTGAACGCCTATTTGTGTTTTAGTAATAAATGAATTGAATCGAGATATGACTTACACAGACGGCTTCAATGCGATAGTCATCCAAATTGGAAAAGTCTGTCAATTGTATGAGTAGTGGACAGATATGCTCCTCAATAAAACCTTTCATACAATTCATAACAAACATTATTAATCAAATGACATAATCGACACACGAGTCAACACTTACTTAATTTAATAATATTTTGCTCCAAAAGCAAAGCGAAAGCATTTTGTGTCATTTTGCGTACCTATTGGTGACAATGACATTAAAACAATGGTCAACATTATGGTGACATGACTTACATGACTGTTAGTGTCGGTCAAGAACTGTTCCAAAATGGGAAGAATATGAAGAGGCACTGCATTGGGAAGGATATGTGTTGTTTGACTCAAATGCATACAGATTTGAGGCAATTGCTCGACCAGTTCCGCTCGGATGCTCGGCTCTGTCCGCACCAAACATTCACTTATATTACTATACAATACACACAACTCTTCACTTAAACACCTTTAATGTCATTTCAATTAAAGGCATTCAAAGTGAAGCAAATACACTGAACACGACAATACATACCGTTGTCTGAGGCCAACCTCGATATAACGGCCATAACTCTTTGGACATCACTGGGCTCGACATCATTGAGTGTTTCCAGAATACTTCGGGCGACCACTTGTCTGCACAACACACCACACAATATGTCATTTTATTATAATTATTATATTTGTAATGTCAGTATAAAATAGTGTGAAAACACTTAACGTGTATTAAAGTAAATCAAACATAATTACTATTAAATTGTCAAATAATTTATTATTTTTTCAACAAATTACTGGCAAAACTAGTATGAAAATGAGACTCAATAGAAAACAATGCAAATAGTTTTAAAGAATCAGCATTAAGTGAAACAAACACTGAGAAAATGATTAAAAATAAATCAAATATAGTGAACACATACAGTATAATAGATAAATCTGTACACAAATTGTATGATTGAGAAAATGTGGCGAAAAGTAGAGAAGACGGGAACTGTAGATAATGGCGGGACAGGCAGTCACAGCGTTTTGGCAGATGTGCCACAGCCTATGTGTTCCCGCCACTGGTGATGGATGCTTCCGGTTCAATGGCTCAATGGCTATATTGCCACACCATTGGCACCATTGCACCTCACCATACATACACTGCCACACCACCACACACTGCAACTCCACTTAACTCTCTCTCTCTCTCTCTCTCTCTCTTTGAGTGCATTTAAATAATTTGTTTGTTTCCAATGAAATAGTATTCAATATTCAACATGTATTTAATGGAAACATTTCTTAGAAGATACTCATAGAAAGGACTTTAAAGTGGGATAAAGTGGGAATAAAATGTGAAAAAATATATCAAAACCATCGCTAAACTAATGGCAACTATGAATTGGATTAAGGATTAGTTTGTATTTAATGGAAATGTACGAAAAGTTGAATGAAAATAGGTTTCGTTTGGAATTTAAATGCAAACAAGATTTTTGTAAATAAAATATAAAACAAATACTGGATATGATTTGGTTGTGTTGTGTGTTGAGCACAGGGAGAGCACAGACACACACAGTGTTTAGAAAGAAGGCATCCGTTTTGGTAATGTGTACTAAGCCGCCAACTCTTGGAATCTCTCCAAAAGAGCAAAGACTCAGAGACTGAAAGACTGGTTAAGCCATAGATCGACGAGAGAGAGAGAGAGAGAGAGAGAGGAGTCAAATGACTTGTGATGTGATGTTTGTGATCAGTTATGCCTCATCTATGCCTACACTACACACTCACTCCAGTCTCTCTCCCTCTCTGTAGAGTAGAGTCAGTCATATGAGTGTTGGTTGTGAACAGTGAACAACACTATGGGATGGTTTGGCACATATAAAGACAGCAGGTTTAGCTGCAAACCAAACCATGGGTATGGTATGGAATGGTAGGGCATTTCCTCGACATTCACAGGCATAGGAATGTGCCGAATGTGTGCCCTGTGGGCCACAGGGACTGAACCGACTGCAGGCAAAACCAATGTCGGCATTACTTGACTCCACTTCCACTTATAGTTTGCCTAAACTTGTCCTTCTCTTCACAACATTCTTAAACCTTTTCTAACAAATAGTTTTCAAATAATTTCGTTTAAAACAATTCATTTCATAACATAAACATTAATTTCAAACTTCATATGGGATTGTATGGAGTAGTGGGCAACACATCGCTGCATAACATACTGTATGAATATATTATGCCATTAATGCCAACGAGTGCTACGATTCCAGTGAAGACATGATATAAAGTTTTAAAAACCAATTCTAATAAACATAACATCAACTCAAAGATCATTAACCGATTCAAAGTCAGCATAACTTATCAACTATTCTACCATTCCTGGCAATACTAGTGCCCAACACTAACACAACATAAATATCATTAAAATAATGACAATTTAATTAATTAATAATCACTTCATTTGCTTAATGATTACTTTTTAAGTTTAACTAAACTTAAGTCAAAACAATAATTGAGTAAAACAATAAAAATGACTTAAAAATTCAAATACAGTGTTAAAAGTGATATTTATAAGAATGCTTTCAAATGGTGAATGAGTGGACAATCTGTTGGATAGTATTAAATAAATACAAACATAACTCACGAGTTATTATAGCGTTAAGGCGAGCATTTATTTGAAGGGTAAGTATTGGCAAAACTGAAACTACTTTTCGCGCGCCAGTAGTTCAATGAAATACAAGAAAAATAAAAACGAGGCTTTCCTTATAATTTAGACAACTGTTCCCAACAAATAAAGGCTAACGTATAGTCTTAAGAAGTGGGCGTTTAGGTAGTCGACCATCAAATCAACTCCTATTACACACTATGCATGCATTCATTCATTTCATTGATTGAAGTTTCCCATTGAAAGGGGATTTGATATTACTATTTTGTTGTTTACGTTTTCAATGGGAATATTCAATGTAAAAATGCAAACTTTGACCTACGCTCAGACAATTATTTTAAAAGATATTTGAAAAGTTTAAAATGTGAACCTTGTTCATTTTTTGAGCTCTATCCAGTGAACTTATTAGATTTATACAATAACTTCTAGTATAGTCACAATAAAATACCTATCTTTCCTCCTGGTGCTCTTATTGAATAAAATATTTTTATATTTTATATTGATAGAGAATTAAATTATCTACATTTTCCATATAACTTTCCAAAATTCCTATTCTTGGTAAAGCAATGGCACTGCGGAAACTTTTTTCCGGATCTGATATTTTATTTTTTGAATATTCCCATTGAAAACGTAAACAACAAAATAGTAATATCAAATCCCCTTTCAATGGGAATATTCAATGTAAAAATGCAAACTTTGACCTACGCTAGGACAATTATTTTAATAGATATTTGAAAAGTTTAAAATATGAACCTTGTTCATTTTTTGAGCTCTATCCAGTGAACTTATTAGATTTATACAATAACTTCTAATATAGTCACAATAATTTAATTTTTACTAAAGCAATGGCAATGCGGAAACTTTTTTCCTGATCTGATATTTTATTTTATGTATATTTAATTGTTTAAAAATATATGTTTCTAGTTGCAGAACACCAAATCCATTCATACCACTGATAGCGCCAGTGAATATGATTATATGTACCAATTTACAGAATTTTAGGAGGTGGGCGCGGGGGTTAAATTAATTTATCCGTTTACATAGACGTAATGTTAATTTTTTTAATTTTTGCATTTTTAAAGTAGCATTGTGCAAAATTGTACGCATCAATTTTCAAAATATTTGGGG